AAAATTTCTCTGTCAAACATGAAATAGTTCTCCTACACTGTGAATGTGGATGGTTACAAAGGAAGCTGGGTAATTGCCAGTATAAAAGACCAATGAGAACGGCCATCGTCCTGATGTACCTTGAATAGCAACAGACTAGATTCATTAAATAGCACTTTTCTCTTGTTCGGGGAAAATTGTAGGGGACCAAAGTGCCCATGAAATGGTCATGTTTAGAGTTCTGAGGAAAGGACACTGTGGTTGAAAACAGTAAGAATAATGTTTAGACTAGGCAATCGGATTTGAACTGGAATGATCCAAGTCATAGTCAAAGTCAAGACATAATTTTTATTATATCATATTAATTAATATGTGTGTGTGCCAATGTGTGCATGCCTATGAAGGCTCAAAGAGGGGGTCAGATCCTCTGGATCTATATTACAGGCAGCTGGAGCCAAACTCTGGCCTTCTGCAAGAGCAACAAGTACTCTGAACCTCAGGGCTATCTCTTCCGGCCCCCCAAATTATGTTTTTGAAACAGTCAGACAAAGGACTGGTGAGATGGCTCACTGGGTAAAGGTTCATGCCTCCAAGTCTCGTGATCCCCGGAACCCGCACAGTGGAATGAGAAAATCCATGCCTGTGATTAGTGCATTAGTGGCACATATGCTTTCTCCAATCTCAGCAAACAGAAACATGTAAAAGAAAAAAAAAATTGAAGAAACAGTCAGATGATTGACATCATCTGGAGTAGTGATGTCTTCTGGTAGGCGGGATTCCTGGAGTAATAGCTGCAGACCTCCCTTTGCAGCCTCTGACCCGGCTGCCGTGCTCCAGCGTCTAAAATTTAGCGAGCCTTCCCCGGGAATGTTTGTCTGACCTTGTTTAGGTCCCAGCCCCTCCAAAGGCTGCCTGGTCCCCTGGGCTTATCGTACCATCATAGCCAAGGGAGCCGAAGTACAGAAGGACGAGAAGAACAGATGCTGCTTTTGTGTGACATGACACAGACCAGCTAGAGAAGAGGGACGACAGCGTGTGCTGCCCTGCTCTGAATCATGAGGCAAGAGGTTTTGCTGCTCCTTGAGGGTAGGTGAAGTTCAAAGATGGGAGAAAGAATAGCCTCTGTGTTCCCACAGATCCCTCCCACATTGAAGTTTATGGGAACGATAGAACGAAAGCAGTTCAGGCACAAAATAAGACAGCTTGAATTAGCGCATCCAGTGCTCTGATGTGTGGTTGGGGGACTGTGGGAATCACAGGTACCACCATCCACGCGAGCAAAGGTCTTATTATGACCTCATTGCGACCCGCACACATTTCTCACACATTTCTCAGTGCACAGATCTGAGTCGTTATGCACTTAACCTGAGTCTTCTTGTAACCCGGGCATGGTGGGCAGCTCACCTAGTTGCTCTTCCTTTTGCCCCTGTAACACTTGGCATAGACATTTTAAGAAGAGGAAGGATTATTTTGACTCATAATTTCAGAGAGAGTTCATTCCGTGGTCACTTAGTCCCGTTGTTTTAAAATTTAATTAGTTAATGAATGTGTTTGTATGTGTGTGGGAGTGCCTGTGCATGGTCCAAGGTATGCACGTGGGGGTAAAAAGACAACTTGCCCCTTCTCCTTCTACCACGTGGGTCCCAGGGATTGAACTCAAATTCTTGGGCTTGCTGGAAGTCTCTTTACCACTGAGGCATCTGGGTGGCCCAAGATCAGTGATTTTTTTTAAGTATCATTTTTTTATGGACATTTTGCCCGCATGTGTGTCTATGCAAGGCATATGGGCATAGTGCCCGCAGAGACCAGAAGAGGGCATCAGACCCAGGGGGACTGAGTTACCAAAGGTTGTAAAGCCTGTGGGAGCTGGGAGTTAAATCCAGGTTCTCTAGAAGAGCAGCCAGTGCTCATAACTGCTGAGTCATCTCTCTAGCTCCAGGTCCTCCCTATTGCTTTGAACCTGCGACTGGTCAGACATCACAGCTGACCTACCAGCAGAATGCGGAGATGGCAAGGCAGGAAGGAAGAAGGGGTAAAACATACCCTCTAAGGGCAGGCTCCCTGGAATCTGCTTCCTCCAACTAGGTCCTAGGTCCTAATATCCCATTCAGCGCTAGCACATGAGTAGATGAAATCAGGATATAGTTAGCCTCTTCATGGTCTAACCACGACTCAGCAGTGCCACCAGCTGAGGACCACACCTTCAGCACATGAGCCTTTGAGGCCGCCTGATTTCTAAACTTCACCCTCATGATTCACTTTGAGGGTAGAATGGTTTATTCCTTTAAATGTGTTTTGACTTTAGCGCATTTAGGTTTGAACAGTTTCAGGTATTTGTAGGCTACACCATATCAAGTTTGTGGTCTACATATCTGTTGTCTACTGCATCTGCTATGTGAATGTAGACAAGATCATGGGAGTGTTTACTTTCACAGCTTGATTCACCTTTGGTCTCTGATTCTGAAATATAACCACAAGCCCATGTGTTAAATAAAGACTGAATTTTCAGTATTTGAAGCCAGTAGAGGTAGTGATGCCTAAGGAGGTAGGGCCAAGAGAGGAATTTAGGCCCTTGGAAGTGTGACCTTAAATGATCCCTTGCCTGAGCCTTTCTCTGCTTCACAGTCATTATGATGTGAGTTGTTTTGCTTCATTGTCTGCTCCTTGCAACAAACTCATATCCCCAAGGGCCCAAAGCAATGGTGCCAACCAACCACGTACCAAGACTCCTAAGACTGAACAAGATGCGTCCTTCCTAACTCATCTCAGCTGCTCTGTCAGTGACAGAAGCCTATTGTCCTTTTCTCCACAAGGTATGTTGGGACTCAGCTGGGATTACAAAAAAGGATAAATGTCCATGTCTAGGCTTCCTTTGGAAATTTCCCTCCATTGATATTATTTTTCTACCAATTGCCAGTAGAAAATATGTAACTTGAGGTTGCCTGGTGACCTGAACTTTACCATGGACCCCTGGATCTTTATATGAATAATGAAGGGGCTAGAAAGGATGACTTTGAAGTTCTTCCAGGTTTAAAACTTGGCAGTTTCTCAATAGTAAGCGTCATCTTGCTTGGAATGGTCATGAACACCTTTAATTCCTGCAATTGAGAGGCAGAGGCAGGCAGATCTCTGAATTTGAGGCCAGCTTGGCCTGTATAGTGAGTTCTAGGAGAGCCAGAGCTACATAGAGAGACCCCATCTCACAAAAAGGAGCTGTGTTTTGTGATGCTAGTGCAATTGATATGTATATACACATGCATGCATGTGTGTGTGTGTGTGTGTATGTGTGTGTCCTGAATTTATCTATTTCAAGTCAAGAGCCATGACTATTTTTCCTGATATAAACTGGTTAGGCTTGGGCTGGAGATATGGCTCAGTGGTTAAGAGCACTGACTGTTCTTCTAGAGGACCCGGGTTCAATTCCCAGAACCCGCATGGCAGCTCACAACTGCCTGAAGATCCAGTTGCAGGGGATCTGACACATGCACAACAATGCACATAAAATAAAGTTAAATAAACCATAAAAATATTTTAAAAAAAGGAAAGAAACTGGTTAGGCTGGTACAAGCCTGTAGAAATTTCCTATCTAGTAACTATCCAGAACACTCAGTCCATACAGACTCCCATCCTTTCCAATTAACATTTGTGGAAGGCCTGTTATCTGTGGGAGGTGTTGATCTTTAGAACATGTCCTGTAGACTTTTCATCTATTTCTCCGTTATCACCTTCTGTGACAGACCAGGCAGACAGCAGTGTAGGGCATGTGTATTTAATAATCCTCTAGAATGGTCTCAAGCTTTTTGTAACAAAATGCAATACAGACATCATGATCCAAAGTCCAGGGAGATAGTGATCAACACAAGAGCATGGGGAGAGAGCTGGCAAAAAAGTGTTCTCTGTCCATCCAAGCTTCATTTCTTAAGCCTTCATTTCAAAGAACACTGCCCCATTTTCTCTTAGAAGTCTTTGCATTGGCTAGGGTATAGTGATTTGATCTCTAGCACCCTAAAAACAAACAGAACTCCCAAAGCCCAGAAGTCTCTGTGTGTTTCGAGGAAGACTGATTTTTGTTGCCTTAACTTGTGCTTTGTCCAGACATGATCATGAGATGTAAATCCAGAGCCAGAAAACTTGAAATGGAAATCAGGCAGCCTTTGAGCCAAACTTACTGTGTGTGGCAGAATGAAGGGAGAGGGCTGCAGCAGTACCGTGACTGAAAACAGTCCTGTGGAGAGTCTCTCACATTGCTCGCCAACTGTTCACTGAAGGATGTCACACAGCGCAGAGATTGGGCTCTCTGCACAGGAGCCAGAAACAGAAGCCAATGCCCACTGTCAGAAGCAAAGGGGCTTGCTTGCACTTACCTTTTCCCCGCATCACTTTTGTTCTCATACAGGATTTCCCAACTTTGATGTGGTTGGAATTTGGAGTTGGATAAATTCTTTCTTAGCAGGCAGGACTTTTCCTGTCTATTGCAAGATGTTGAACATAATCTCTGAGCTCTTCCCTCTAGGTACCAGTAACCCTGCTCTCCCTCTTACTTTAGTTGTGGCAGTTAGTCTCTCTCCATTACCAAACGTCACGTGAAATATAAGAAGAGGGGAAATCCCGCCGCTTCACCCCCAGTGCTCTGGAGGCCGGAAGCTGAGGTCACGACTATCCATGCAGGGTAGAAAGTAGAAACTTCAAACCTCATGATGACATAAGGCCACAGGGCAGGATAAGGAGAGCGCCTCTCCTGGGCCGTGAACAAATTAGCATCATCCAAGTACTAAGCTGCATTTGTTTGCCCGAGAAAGAAGTCATTCCGATTATTTGGAAAAATCAGCATCACTCAACTATTTTGTTTGCCCTGAAATTATGATCACCCTCCCTACATGGTTGACATTTGTCAGGTGGGAGGAGAAGCCAAAACACTTTTGAAAGCATCCTAATGAGAAGTGCGTCGCGGGGCCCGTCACTCAAACGCTGCCACCTCGGAGTTGTGAAGTGGCGGCTGATTAGCTGCTTCTCACAGTGTACACTATGTTCAATGTGCTGAATACAAAACGAGGATATGGCGAGCAAACCCATCCAGGAGCTATGAGAACAACAGAACAGCCCAACCTCTCGCTCCCCCGGAGCTGGCGGCCAAGGGGAGGTCCCTGAGGCCTGGGAAACCGCCCGCCCTGCACACATTGTACTAGCTGTCTTACTACACTCTAGTTTGGTTGAAATATTTTCTAGGTCCGTCTTGTTCCTATTGGAGGCATCTTGGGTTGCTTTTGTTTTCTTCTTTGCGTCTTTTTCCTGTCGGTTCACTCCAGACTTCTAGACATGAATTCATTTTCTCCCAGAAATACAAAACTAGGTCATATGTCGTGGAGAATATGTCTGTAGATCTCTGGGATTCTGGAAAGAACAGCAGGGAGGCATCGTGAGAGGCATCGTGAGAGGCACTCAGCTAAAGCTCACTGGGAACCCAGAGTCTCCCCCTACTTGCCTCTGTGTGAGTGTACTTCCTGTTTTAAAACAGGATTGTTTTTTCTTTATTCTGTTGTCCTGCTGTGGTCCACGGTGTATGGGCTGATGAGGGAAGGTGATGGCTTAACTTTTAAACTAAAGGACGACCATCCAGCTACAGTCTCAGAGAGCAGCAGGCCCTCAGAACACACAGAAACGGAGAGATAAAGGATGGACAGGATCCTGGAGTGAGGCTGGTAGACACTGTTCTGTCTGAATCTACTCCTAGCCAGAGAGTGTGTGGCCGAAAATGCCATGGCCAATAAGAATGTGTGTCTCAAATAATGAGCCGTCCCTTTATTTTAAAAATCTACTTAGAGAAAGATAAACAAATTGAAAAACCAAAATCTCCTCCAGAAAAAAGTTTGGTTTAAAGTTACTTTCTATAGAGAACAAAGTAGTAACTGAGGATGCATGTGTATGTAACCCTGTGTGCTATGTGTGAATATTGTCTTTTACATGTATGACTTGACTTTTTTTAAAAGCTGAAAATAGCTGGGCAGTGATGGTGCACGCCTTTAATCCTAGCACTTGGGAGGCAGAGGCAGGTGGATCTCTGTGAGTTCAAGACCAGCCTGGCCTACAGAGTAAGTTCCAGGACAGGTTCTAAAACTACAACGAAACCCTATCTCGAAAACAAAAACAAAAAAAACAAAAAACAACAACAAAAAAAACTCATTAAGAGTGGAAACAGAAATCAAGGGAGGAAGATAGAGTTTCTTTTTTCTTCTGTGAAGTCCCTAAGGGACAGTCCCTTATGGGGAATCTCCCTCTGCCGAAAACCATGGGGTCAGAAGTGATGGGAGCTGGCAGGTTTCCTTACAGAGTCCACTTTTTACATTGCACTGTTTTAAGAGCTTAAAGAACACAAGAGGGAAGAGAAGAGACAAATGAACACATCTCCACCTCCCTCCAGATCTTAACTATCTAGGCAAGGCCTACATTTGCCTCAGAGAGGGCAGGATGCGCTGTATACACGGCAGATGAATATGGGATTCAAGGGCCCCCAGGAAAGGGCTCTTAGGCTGAAAAACACTTCCCTGAAATGGATAAAGGAAGTCATGGTTATGAACTGGTGTAGAATAAATTTCCCAGAAAGAACTGGGAGGGAGAGAGCAAAGCCAGAAGGCGTGTGTGTGTGTGTGTGTGTGTGTGTGTGTGTGTGTGTGTTGAGGGCAGAGGGAAGAAAGTTAGAGGCCTCTGATTGCTCAGTCAAAGATAATATCTCTGATACAGTTGTGCCCAGACTCAATCTGGATTCCTGAGCAAAAAGACACCGTGGTTAAACAGTGTTTGAATATTTTCATTTTGGTACCTAGTTTCTTATCGCCTGTAACAGGAAAAGAATTGGTCTAGGGCTGGGGAGATGGCTTAGTGGTGAAGAGCACTGCTTGCTCTTCCAGAGGATGGAGGTTCGATTCCCAATACCCACATGCCAGCTCACAACTGTCTGTAACTCTAATTTCAGGAAATCGCATACACTCTTCATTCTCTGTGGGCACCAAGCACACACAGGCTCCATATGGTCAAAGCACCCATATATACAAAATAATAAAGTAAATTAGAATTAACTTGGATATAAGATGATAAAAAAGGGATTGGGATCAGTCTGAGAGACGACTTGGAAGAAACGCTGTAGGTAGGGTTTGTGACAAGACACTGTCCAGAAGGACAGAGGGCAGTCAGGAAACCCCTGGGACTGTGAGCCTTAGGCCTCGTGGGAACGTAGGAGTACTGAACTTCACAGCTCAGCGTTGAGCAAATTTTGCTTTCAGAAGAATCGTTAGATGGAAGTGTCCCATCAGTAATTGGAGCCAGAGAACACATCTCAGCAGGAGGCTAGCTGGTGAGTCACCTGAGCCCAAGGTGGGCAGGCTAGCGACTCAGCAAATGAATAATAGGTGTTTGGATTTACACACAGAGTTGAGTTGTGTAGAGTTTGTTTTCATACCTGTCGCTCAGGACTCTGCTCTTGGCTAGTACTAGATCCTTACAAACCTTAGCCTTCCACAATGCTGGGAAAAGTCCCTGCCCTAGCATCAAAGTGTATTCCTTCCTGCGGCTGATGCTGGCAGCTGTTGGACTCCTGCTTCCTAACGATTAGTCTAGGGCTGGAGCACTGGCTCAGCTGTTAAGGGCATGGGCTCAGCCATCTAGGGCTGGAGCAATAGCTTGGCTGTTAAAGGCATGGGCTCAGCTGTCTAGGGCTGGAGCGCTGGCTTGGCTGTTGTTAAGGGCATGGGCTCAGCCGTCCAGCAATGCTCTGTGTTTTAGCTCACCTGCTGTACCAGCCACTTTGCATGCTTTTGTGTGGCCAAGACCCCTCATCTTAGCATCTGGCAGTAGAGAGAGACAGCAGTGCCCAGACAATCAGAAGGACAGAAGGAACACGTGGGGAAAGCCCCGAGTTCAGCAGCTGCAGTTGACTCCGCCTTTTGACCTCTGAATCTGTAAGAGGAGAGAAAAAAGTTCAAAGTCACAGGGAAGAAGCTGAATGTCCCCTTTGCGTGAAAAAGAAAGAGCATCTGAAAAACAGAGCGATTTGTATCTAACAAGGGCAATTTTGTCTTCCTCTCTCCTCCCTTCTGAAATGAACTCAGAGGTTTCCCTTTTTATGGAGCAAGGTCCATTCTGTGGTCCAAGTCAGTGAGGATGCAGCCGAATGAAACATGACATCAAGGAAGGGAAATACGGGGAAAACGTTGCTAATGGAAGGACTCGGGCCAGTTCCTTGGTTTTGGGCCTACTTCTCCCCAGGCAGCGGCCTTCACAGGTTCTGTGCCATCGAATTCCATCAGACCTCCACAAAATAAGGAACTGTCTATTTCCTCTTCTACTCTTTCCTTCCTAGACAATCCGATTTCATGCTGCTATTTCAGTTCTGTCACTCAGTGTGACTTCAGTAAGTAACTCAATACACGTTTGCTCCAGTTTCTGCCTCTACAAAGAAAGCTAAAATAAGGGTGGCCCACTTCACAGGGCGATTATAAGGATCCCTGGGTGACTTAGCATGGTGCCCGGCGAATGGTTACTCGAGTGTTACCTGTGAATACCACCAATGCAGTAGACCTACACAGCCGAATAGCTATTTCCTCCACGACCCCCCCACCTACGAAGTTATTTCTTTACTTTAATTCTGCCTTCACTTTCACATCTGGATTTATTGTTGTTACCAAATAGGTCGGTTAAAAAACACAATTATTCAGCAAATTCATGGTTTAGGTCTTTGGTTTTTCAGGGTAGTGTTTCTTTGTGTCAGAGCCTGGAACGTGCTCTGTAGACCAGGCTGGCCTCAGACTCACGGAGATCCACCTGCCTCTGCCTCCCAAGTGCTAGGATTAAAGGCACGTGTTGCCACCACTACCTGTCAGTAAATATTTTTTTAGTATCTACTATTGGGTTTCATTTTTCCTTCGAGATTTATTTGGTTTTTCTGCGTGTCTATCTGCTGTGGGGACATGCCTGTGTGGCCACAGCTCCTGGGAGCTCCAGAATTGATATTGGATCCCCTGGAGTTGGAGTTGAGTTGCCCCATGTGGCTGCTGGGACTGAATTTGGGTGCCCTGTGAGAGTAATAGGTGCTCCTAACCGCTGTGCCACCTCTCCAGCCCCATATCGTCAGGTTTCTGAGGAGTCCGACAAATAACACCCTTTCCCCAGGTTGGCGTGGAGCCAATGAAAAGAAGGACAAAAGCCAGGCAATCAGAAGGCCTAAATAACACCTCTTCTGCTTAAAAATCTGGCGGTAAAGGGTGACGCTTGGTAGGAAGCTGGCGGTCGCAGCCTGGACCCTCATCCTGTGGCAGACAGCACCAAAGTGTGGCAGGCTCCCATCTTCTGGGACAGATCCTTTCCTAAAGAGCAGAGCGGAATATGCCCTTCATGGTAGTGACAACAGAGAAAGAGGGAGCTCAACCCCATATGTTCAGCTTCTGATGGCCTCCTTCTCCAGGGAAGGGAGATAGATGGGCACTCAAAGGTTAGACACACAGGGATCCTGCTCCCAGAATCAAACACACGGAGTGGAAGTGCAGCCCCCCCACACCGACATGTGATAGCTGATGTGCCGAGCATGGGCATCTCTGCCTGCATCCTCAATGGACATTTGAAGAGCATCCTCTCTAAACCATTGTCTCCTGCCCGCCCATATTGCTCCTATTTCCCTGCTGTGGTGGTAGCATTATCAAGTTCTTAGACATCCTGGGTGGTGACAGCAAACCCATTTTGACTTTTTTTTTTTTTTTGCTCTTGACATTTTTTTTTTGCTTTCACTTTTTTTTTGCTCTTGACATTCACATTTGCTTTATCAAGATCTATAGATTTGTTTTTATTCGAGCAGCTTTTGATTCTTTCTCTTTTTCAAAGGAATGATGTGCTCACAATTATCCCTTGGACCACCGCCACCGGCTCCTGATTTCAAGGCTTCTGAGTCCTTATTTTCTCTTTCTTTCTAATCTCACTCGAAGTCTGCTTACCCACTGCTCTGGTCTACTCATAAATAACAACTCTCCCTTAGAGGGCCCCTATTAATACTGGGATTAACTTCTTAATGATATTTGTACCATTTGTCTGGGTATCTCATGGGGTTTAAAAGTGCTATGAACATACTTGCACAGAACACATACTTGTTGAACAACTGTCCAGGCTGACTAGTATTTCACGGTGTGCATTTAATATAGTGTATCCTATTCTGTCCACTTGTTTTCTATGCCATCGATGGACATTTCAGATTTCATTTTTCGACTATTACAAATAGTATTACTATGATCACGAATGTGCAAATATTTATTCAAGTCTTTTCTCTGATTTTTTGGGGCTATACCTAGCAGTATGCCTGTCAGATCACATGACTAGTCTGTTTTTAGAGCTTGCCACTTTCCGCTGATTTCACAAGTGTCCGTCCTACAAACAGTGCTCGAGTGGTCCAGTTCCTCGGTTCCTCACCAACCCTTGTTAATTCTGTGCCCTGATTTTTTTCGGTGGCATGTTGGTGACCATCTCAATGGGCTTGGGGTCAGAGGCGATTAGCTTCCTGCTGTTTCACTTAGCTTTCCCCGCAGGATGGATGTCGTGAAGCACACTTTGATGTGCCTTTTTGGTCATTTGAGTCACAGAATTAGAAAAATGCTCTTTCCCATATACTTATTTTCAAAGTCAGTGCTCAGAGAGCTGGAGAAATGGATCAGCGGTTAAAGATGCCTGCCACGATAGCAGGAGGACTGGACTTGAGTTCTCCAGAAACTCACATAAACATAAGGGTGAGCGTGGTAGCATACCCATAATTCCAGTCTCAAAGTGTGGGAACTGGGGATCAATCCCCAGAGCAGGCTGGCTGTCGAGACTAGCTCCGGGTTTAATTGAGAGACCCTGTTCCAGTACATGTGTGAAAACACATGAAAAAGCTTGCACATATATACCCTATGCACACCAAAATGAACAGCACACATGCATGGAAAGTGGAGAAAGGCAACAAGGCTTAGGTGCCTGGAGATGTAATCCCAGGTAGACTGCTTGCCTAGCGTGTACAAGATCCCGGGTCTGCACTGAAAAACAAAACCTTTGAATTTAGCTATTTAGTTTTTTGCTAAGTTATAAGGATTCTTTTGGATATTAACACCTTATTAGATATATGACTTGCAAGGATTTTCTGCTATCCTACAGATTAACTTTCATAACTAAAATTTGAATACAAATGTAAGCTGCTGTGATTTAGTCAGTTAAACTCAGCCATCCTATGTACAAGATACTTGCTTGCACTTCTCTAAACTTGATACAGACAGGGGCTCTTTTGGCAAACCCCAGCCTCTGAAGACAGGGTTCCGCAAGGCACAAGAAGCCACAGCCTCATAAGTTCCAGCTGCGTCTGGTTTTTCTTGAAACTGGTTTCCTCCTAGGTTTGGGATACACTAAATGCACTAAAGCACCACGGGCAGGTGAGGGGACTTCTCAGACAGGCTGAGGTCACTTCCCTCTAAGGTTTTCGGATTTTCCTCAAGAGTGGTCACTACTAGTCAGTATTGGTGAGATTCATTCAGTCCCAGGATGACTGAGGAGGAAGATGGAGTCAGAGGGGTAGGCCTCTGATCTTCAGATGCCAGACCTTCCCAAGGACAGGTTGGGATCTCGTGAATTTGGGGGAATTTAGGGTGCAGTGGACCAGTTAACTCGGTCACAGCTGTCACATAGCCATCATGTCTCTCCAGTGCACCAAGTATTCCCACCAACTTAGAAAGAGCCTCCGAGTGCTAACGCTCTCCAGACGACCGAGGAGAAGTCAATCCATGCCTTTTGGGGGAAGGAAATTGAGACAGAGGCTCACTGTGTAGCTGTGCCTAGCCTGAACCTCACTTTATAGATCAGGCTAGCTCAAACTCACAGAGACCCACCTGCCTTCCAAGGGCGAGCATTGAAGGTGTGCATTACCATGCCAATCTCAGTCACCCTTGTCAACCAATATGCTATAAATATTGTGCTGTGCTAGGCTTTCAAGTACAGAAATCAGTGCCAACTGGGATTATGACCAAAATCTCTACAGCAGTGGTTCTCAGCCTTCCTAATGCTGTGACCCTTTAACACAGTTCCTCATGCTGTGGTGACCCCCAACTATAAAATTATTCATTGCTACTTAATAACTGTAATTTCAATACTGTTGTGAATTGTAATGTACACATCTGTGTTTTCCAATGATCTGAGGCGACCCCGGTGACCCTCAAAGGGGTTGCAACCCACACTTAGCCACTGCTCTAGAGGATCTGGAAGACTAGAGATGTCTGATCCCTGGTACATATCAGATAAATATAGTTTTAATTGACATATTTTTTCTCTAATAGTACATGTGATAAAACAGGGAGAGCTGTGCAGGCGTGTTTAGGAGGAGAGTGCCTGACTAGAACCCCCAGATCTTGGGCTTCATTCCACAGCACGGGAGGCAGGAAGCCTCAGGAAACGCACCTGTCACTTTGATGGCTCCCGTGGCCTTGGCGATGTTGTTCTCTATCATGCAGGAGTATGTGTTGTTGATTGTGACATTGTAGAGCACAGACACAACCTTCATGGTCACATTCTCAGAGTTCAACTCGAAGCTGGTGTTGGAGACTTCTGAGAAGTTGGCTCCTTGGTCAACCTGAGATGCCCAGGCCACTGTGGGCTGGGGGAACCACCGAGGAGCCTCACAGCGCAAACTCTCTGAACTGGCATTGTAGTCCACGTTTATCTCTGGCACACTGAAGGCTGCAGGGGCAAGAGTCGAAAAGGATAAATGTCAATGGAAGACAGATTATAGAAAAAAGCCTTAAAGTGCTAGGTCTTAAAAACACAATCAATCAGCTGGGCAGTGGTGGTGCACACGCCTTTTATCCCAGCCCTCAGGAGGCAGAAGCTGGTAGATTTCTGTGAGTTAGAGGCCGGTCTGGTCTACAGAATTAGTTCTAGGACAAGCTCCAAAGTTACACAGAGAAACCTTGTCTCAAACAAACAAACAAACAAACAAAAAACACAACCACAATCACTTCTGTCACTTAAGTGACCCAGGGCTTCCCCATGGTGATTTTTGTGTGGCCCTTTATGTCGTGGGCATAAATAAATAATGATTTGCCCAGAGTATCACTATACATTATATCCCTTTGACCAATACCACAAACTCCAGGGGCCCGAGTTTCAAATATATCAGTGTTATGATAAGTAATGTCCTCCGTGTACAAGGATCATTAGAAAGGAAGGAAGGAAGGAAGGAAGAAAGGAAGGAAGGAAAGAAGGAAGGAAGGAAGGAAGGAAGGAAGAAAACGTCTGTTGCCTTAGGACAATAGGGCCAAGCCATGGATAGGATCTGGATTTGATGTTTTAAGATAAAGAGGGAGGAGGAAGGAGAAAGAAGCAAGCAGCACGGTGGCACTCACTTATCGCCAAAGAAAGCCCACTCACAGGCCTTGTCGCCATGGGGATTGGACTTTGCTTGGGTGGAAACTATAGCTCTGATACCTACAAATAGAATGACAGCCATTTGTTTTATTCTAAGAAACGCTGTTTGTTAAAGTAACATCTGGGAATTAAGGCATTCCTTCTTCTCCAACTAGGCAGAGTAACACAATATGTTATGGTTGTATAGCTTGGTGTTCTTGTGGGACTCCTAACAGTGGGAGCCAGGTTGTCTGTGACTCTCTGTTGCCTGTTTTGGGTACCTTTTCTTCTTACTGGGTCACCTTGTCCAGCCTCGATGTAGTGTGTGTGGGGTGCCTAGTCTGTTGTAATTTGTTATATTGTGTTTGGTTGATATGCTTGAGAGGCCTTCTCTTTTCTGAAGAAAAACCAAGGAATAGTTGATCCAGGGGAAGAAAGGAGGTGGCAGGGAGAAACTTGGAGGAGAGGAGGGAGAGGAAACTGTGGTCTTCTGTAGTAACATAGAGAAGAATAAACAAACAACAAACAAACAAACAAATAAATGTTAAGGATCTGGGCTTATTATTATGACAAAATGGCAATCCACAATTAATATTTGAAAAAATTGTTGTTGTGCTGATGGTGTTGATGGTGCTGATGGTGCTGGTGAGTTGTAAGGGTCCATGTGCCACAGCACACCTGTGAAGCTCAGAGGATAGTTTTTGCAGAGCTGGGTTCTCCTCTTCCATCTTTACATGGTGTGGTTGTTTGAGAGAGGATGGCCACCATAAACTCATATATTTGAATACTTGGTCCCGGTTGATGGAACTGTTTGAGAAGGACTAGAAGGTGTGGCCTTGTTGGAGGAGGTGTGTCACAGGGCTTCAAGACTGCACATGCTCACACCATCCCAACTCAGAGCTCTCTCTCTCTCTCTCTCTCTCTCTCTCTCTCTCTCTCTCTCTCTCCCTCATGCCTGTGAATCAGATGTCAGCTCTCAGCTGCTGCCCCGGGGCCATGCCTGCCCGCCTGCTGCCATGCTCCCTACTGTGATGATTGTGGACTCACCCTCTGAAACTGTGAGCCCCGAATACACCTTCTCCTATTGGTGGCTTGATCATGGTGTCTATTCAGAGCAATTTGAAAAGTCATTAAGACACATGGTTTCCAGCTTGAATATTGATCACTTTTACCTGCTGAGCCAGCCCTCTCACCAGGCCTCCAGGTAGTCAGTAATTTATTAAAGTCATTTAACTGCTTTTTTGCTTAGGGTTAGGCTGGTGCTAAGTGAGAACGAAAGGGAACCTTTCCTTTGTGCTGTTGTTTGTTTGTCTGTCTGTTTCTGAGTCAGAATCAAGTAGCCCATACTGGCCTTCAACTCACTATGGAGCTGAGGATGACATGGAACTCCTGATCCTCTGGCCTTCGGTGCCATGTGCTGAGGATACAGGTGTGTGCCACCACACCCTGCTCTTCACCTTCCTCCCAGCAAGCCTGTTCCATAGCAAGGAAGATGAGATGCACATGCTTGGAGCAGGTAGGGAACGCGTCTCTAGGAGGCAGTATGGAAACTAAGTCGTGAGCATATGCCTTGTGCTAGAAGTGTATCCCAGGCATTACTTTATTTGAGCTTCGAAATAATCCTATGGTTATCTGTTATTAAACCTATGCTAAAACTTTAAAATTCTGGAATTATTTTATCTCATTAATTTATTCTCTCTCTCTCTTTGTTTGTTTGTTTAAAGACAGGGTTTCTCCATGGAACAGCTCCGGTTGTCCTGGAACTCACTCTGTAGACCAGGCTGGCCTCAAACTCACAGAGATCCGCCAGCCTCTGCCTCCTGAGTGCTTGGATTAAAGGCATGTAGCACCACTGCCCAATTCTACTTTCCTTAAAAAATGGATTTATTTTTATATTATCTATTTGACTGTTGGCCTGCATGTACATGTGTGCACCATGTGCATAGAGAGCCTGTAGAGGGGGATCATAGTCCTTGGGTTGCCATGTGCAGGCATGTGCATACTGGGGACCAAACCCAAGTCCTCTGGAAGGACAGGCAGCACTCTTAACAACTGAGCCGTCTTTCCAGGCTGGCCTAATCTACTAAAAATTTAAAGTTAGCTTACAAATAAAATTAGTTATATGAACAACTTTAGATTTACATAAAAGTTTCAAAGACAGTATTCAGTAAGAGAATTCCTGTGAGTTTCCCGTTCAGTTTCCTCTAAAGTAGCATCTTCAATGGCCTTTGTTCTTCTGTCAAAATCGAGAAACCAGCATCACTGCTAACTAAACGCCAGACTTTATTTGTATTTTTCCCATTTTCCCATTAACATTGGGAATTCTGCTGTTGTCCCAGAATCTCACTAGTATGCCAGCATGGTTTAGTTATTTCACCTCAGGTTTGTATAAACTGTGGCATTTTCTCAAACTTCATCTTTTTTTTTTTCTTTAAAGAGTTTTAGTAGTGGTCAGGTATTGCGTAGGGTGCCTTCCCTTTGGGATTTACAGGATGTTCTTTTCATGGTTAGAGTCAGGTAGGGGTTTTGGAGAGGAAGATCATGGTAGGATAAAGTTCTCCTCCCATCAGCACGACATACTGGAAGGTGCGAGCTCTCCACACCCGATGATGTGAGGGGCGTGTGTTAGGTGTCTCAGAAAGCTGACTTCACATCTCCAACATACACTGACTGAGCTGAGTGGGAAGACTATCAAATGGTGCCTCTCCCTCCTGGAGAAGGAGAGAGGGAAGAAAATTACTTGTAATTTCTGTCTGAAAAGAATTGTTTCATTTTCCTCGTCAGTGTTTTGTGTGCTTTAGATCCCGAGTCATAGTTTAGTAGTGTGTCTTCTTGGCTCACTGTGTTAGGCTTTCAGTGGAGTTTGTGCAGTTGATCTTACTGTTAAATATTGCCCACTAGGCTCCCTCTTCAGATAAAGATGCCGAGGCTCAGAGAGGTTGTGTTGGGTCACCATCCTCATCCAGGCCTGGATCTAGGGCAGTGCTTCATGTCATACACATATAAGGAGGAGTTCAAGAAAGGCCCACAAAGCCTTGGTTAGACTCAGGAGCACAGGCTACTAATGCCCATCCTTCAAGGCCCCTTTTAGCTTCTCCCTGGGGGTTTCTTACCCCTTCCCTCATGTGCATTGGGTGTGCTCTCTCCCTTCCTTTGAACCCCTCTCTTGTTCTATTTCTGTGGGAGAATTGTCTGTATTCTGTCAATTATATTTTAATAAAACGCTGATTGGCCAGGCAGGCAGTATAGGCGGGAAAGCCAGACAGGAAGTAGGAGTGGAGCAAAGAGACTGGAAGTATTCTAGGAAGCTCCCTCCGCCACTCCTGTGCAGACCACCGAAGAGGCAGCATGTAACTTGCCCAGCTGAGAAAGGTACAGAGCCATGTGGCTAATGTAGATAAGGATAATGGGGTAACATAAGTTATAAGAGTTAACAGGAAGCCTGACCTAATGGGCCAATCAGTTTATAACCTTATGGAGTCCTGTGTGTGATTTCTCTTTGGGATTTGCCGGTTGTGGGGTACCGGGCGGGACAGAAACCCCAACAAGCAGGCCCATCATGTTACATATTTCTTCTTTCTTTCTTTCTTTCTTTCTTTCTTTCTTTCTTTCTTTCTTTCTTTCTTTCTTTCTTTTTTTGTTTTTTTTTGAGACAGGGTTTCTCTGTGGCTTTGGAGCCTGGAACTAGCTCTTGTAGACCAGGCTGGCCTTGAACTCACAGAGATCCACCTGCCTCTGCCTCCCAAGTGCTGGGATTAAAGGCGTGCGCCACCACTGCCTGGCTGTTTCTACTTTCAGAAGGTGTTATTTGTTATAGTCTGTTGTTCTCCTGGGCAGTCCTTCAGTTCACGAAGATCTGTACTGGAAGCACTGTGAAAGGAGGGACAGTTACTTCTGTTTATTAATCCTCTTCATATTCTTCATCACAACTATCTGAATCCCTTGTAGCTTCGGGAAACATCTGTTGGACCAGGTTGGCAAGGAAGTGCGGGTTTCACTGGGGTGGTAATACTGAGTTCGTATGACAGCATTGCTTTGGTTTGGTCCTTTTGGACCGCTCCTAAAGCTGCTCTCTGGCAGGAGTCTCTGGAAAGACTCATTTCAGATGTGGGCTTGGGCCTGATTAGTATAGAAATATTTCATGACAGATGGTAGGCTTTTCTTAGTAGCAACAACAGGGCCTACCTTCAAGAGACTGCATTTATTAGTTAGGAGTGGTGTTCCACGCCTTTAATCCCAGTAGTTGGGAGGTAGAGACGGGAGATCTCTGTGAGTTCAAGGTTAACCTGATATACAGAGTGTGTTATAGGCCAGGTAGGGCTACAGAGTGAGACCCTGGAGAGAGACAAAGACAGTCAGACAGACAGACAGAGTAGGGCTACAGAGTGAGACCCTGGAGAGAGACAAAGACAGTCAGACAGACAGACAGACAGACACACACACACACACACACACACACAGAGAGAGAGACAGAGAGAGAGAGAGAGAGAGAGAGAGAGAGAGAGATATTTGGGAATACACCTAGAAATTCAAAGATGGTGAGAAACACAAAGAAAATATTTTAAGTCTTAATATTATAGCAGGTCACTGGGTCACTGTCTTGGGCATAACAACCAGATGGCTACTAACAGAGCTGAGCTGAGAGAGTTTTGGTCTGATATTGGTCATTTATGAACACACTGTATTTCATCAGCGACTCGTGACCTTTATTCTCAGCTATCCTTGGGTGCCCCCTCTGCCCACCCTGCAGAAGTAACTCACCTCCAGTCTTATACTCCAGGTTGGCGTTCCCTTTTCCTTTGGAGGTACGGATGTAGCACGTGTAGGTGCCAGCGTCTATGAGTTGCACATTTTTCAGCCTCAGGGAAGCGTTGCCGACCACCACCTGATCAGCAAACACCGCCGTCCGGCCTCTGAACATCTCATGCTGCTGTGAGAAATCGTCTTTGCCTTCTTTGAACTCGTGGACCAAACCCAGGGTCCCTTCTTTCAGCCACTGGATGACGATGCCATTGAGCTTGATGTCAGGTTCGAAAGTGCAGCTCAGAATCCCATCCTCTCCGATGTTTCCAGCCGAGGTGAACGTCCTGACGGTGATGAAGTGCTTGCCTGCGATTCAGGAAGGAACAGTGAAGCCCTGGGACTTTGACGAACAAGCTCTTTGTTAATGCAAGCCGGACAGAGATGATGTTCCAGATCAATTAGAAGTAGAGAAAAGCATTTTTAAAAGACACGGCTAGAAAGAGGATGAAGCCATGTTAACATCTACAGACAGATTTTGTAAGAACAATCTACCCAAACCCGGAGAGGCAGCAAGAGGAAAACACGTCGGAGTTGAGGATTTGAACACGAGTATTCAAGTCTGCCATGCAACCTTAAATACGTTGTGTGACTCCTCTGACTCCCAGAAAAATGGAGGTAACAGCCTCTGAGAGGTCGCTATGAGGAACAAATCAAACGGGGGTAAACGATCTGCAAACGGCAATTATGTAAGTAAGGTATTATTCTTAGCTAAGCAGGAGGGACCCAAAGTTGTGCTTCCTGTTAATTAGTATTAGTAATCCTGAAGAAAGTTAAATCCTAATGATCTGGGACTTTATCTTCCTTGGAATGATAGAGAAACTCAGGCACCAAGAAGGAAAGTGATGGTTCTGAGGTTATGATGTTATCTATATTGTAACGAAGAGTGGTATTTGATGATGCTTTGGTCCACGATAGAAACCTCCTTCCTCACCTCTTTGATCCTACCATCTGGAGGAGCATTACCATGGTGATATCTCCATTCTATGGTCTTTCCTTCAGCTGTGCAGCCTACAGCACACTCAGGCTGGGGGTTCTTTGTGCCTGCTGTTCTGCCTGAGAACACCCTAGGGTGACAGATTATTTTTGGAGGCTCCTGTGACATGGATGTGAAGCTAAGGCGATGGCCATGGAGCCCAAGAGGACCAAGGAGCAGAAACAAGGAAGTGCGGGAAAGAGACCGTGGAGAGCCTCATCCTAAGAGCCGTGTTGGCTGCTGGGAATATAGTCAAGACCGCAGGAGGTGCTGCCCAGCCTCTATATCGTCTTCACACAAACACCTGGTTTAAGCCTTCCTGACACCCTCAGATGTCACTAGGATGGGTCTTGGACACCGCTCAACTGTACTTTTCAGATTCCTTATTGGTTTCCCCACTGCGCCTGTCTGCCTCCTTCCCACACATTTTGAACGCATTGATCTTGCAAGGAGCTTTCTTAGTGTACAATCCAAATACACCTGCCACCTAACCAGTGAGTTCCCGTGGTTACTACGGACTCTGGAATGAGTTGCAGATTTCCCAGCCTGGCCGTCGGTGCCAAGCACTGCCTGGCACACAGTGAATGCCTCTTGTTCCTGCCTGGCAGTTTCCTCTCCCCCTGTCCCCCTCCATCGTCTGCTTTGTCTCTGTCCAATGGTTTGTTGATTTTCTTTCTTCAGTGTAAAGATTCATGAACAAATAGTCCATGTTCCTTTTCAAACACAGAAGCAAACATTCTAGCCACAAGGGTGTCCTTGGCACTTCTAGCTCATTAAGGCTTGGGATTGTCTAATTGACTCCAAGACCTTTACAAAAGAGACCAGGGCAATGAATGGGAAATAGAGCCAAAGATACTAAGCTAGGTAGATTTGCATAAAAAAAGAACGGAGGGCTATGCATAGAAGAAGAAGTAGAGCTAGAATAAAGAGGCCAAGGGAACAGACATGCACACATAGGCTGGGCTGGAAGATCTTTTTAAGGCTTGACGGCGTGGAAGAAAAGGGATTTGGGGAGCAGCTGCCCTGTGTGGCCTTTCATGCGAGACATTTGGAAAACTAACCAGGGAAGAGAGCAAAAGGAGGTTTGACTGTGGTAACACGGCACCCCTGTCTCCTGTACTTTCTTGAACACTGCTTTGAAGGTTCAGGATTATTTTCAATCCTCTTTGTTTATTTCAAGAACCAGGCTTGTACGGGCTGTAGGGTCACACTCTGTGCCTTCCCAACCCTGCTCGTCTTTCTCCTGTGCAGAGTTCTGGCTCTCCTGTATCTTGCTTACCCACATTCCACTCATATTTGAGACAGGATGGCAGCTCTTCTGAAACACTCTTTTCAGCCACTCAAGGTAGAACTGGCAGATGCACCCCCTCCAGAACTCGTCTTTCCCCTTTACCATGGTAAGTGCCTTCTTCCTTGACTCACATCTGGACTTGGCACTCATCTGTCAGCTTTGTCCAAGGGGCAGATGGTTTTAGTCATAACTACAGGTCTGATCGTGTCCGCTGCTCTGCTCCACAGAGAAATAATGTTCTGTGAGTTCCAGAGTAAATGAGAATAAACACAAATCAAAGCACTGCTTGCATAATCCACCTATCGCAAGAGCAAAGAACCAAGGCCACCGCACTTAAATGCGGGAGAAACATTAGCCTTAAGAAGATGACAATAAAAATATACAGATCCTCAATGAAACCCCAGAACAACTGGGACTCAGCCAGAGCCAGAGTGAAGGTGACTGAGCGTCATAAAGTGTCATTGAAGTTAATCTGGAAAATTACTCTTTCAGAAAAAAAATCCCACACATAATTAGCACAATTATGGAGGAAATGAAATAATAATGGCATATCTCAGTTTGGTAATTGTGTGACGGAATTCAGTTTAATGTGCTGGCCTTGAGCCCACAGGTAGGGGACCCACTGACACATCTTCTAGAGAACTTGGTAATTAAAAGTAGGCAGCTTCAGTGTGCCTGGGGACCTGCGGCAGCTTCAGGTCACTTGAGTTCCTATTCATGACGTGGCCAATGGGATGAGCGTGACACCGATTGAATTCTCATCCATAGGAAAGGAAGGGGAGAAGTAAAAGACAGTGAGTTCTTCAGAAATCCCAAGGCAGGAACCGAGAGGCAAGAACTGAAGCAGAGACCACAGAGTAACGCTGCTTGCTGGATCGCCTGCCCTGCTTGCTCAGCTACTTTTCTAATTAAAAAATATTGATTTATTTTTAATGTATGTGAATGTTTCCTGTGTGTATGTATGTATAACATATGCATGCCTGGTGCCCCCACGAGGTCAGAAGAAGGCATCAGATTCCCCTGGTGGTTGTGATGCTCTATGTGGGATCTGTCAACGAAAGCTGGGCCCTCTGTGAGAGAAGCAATGCCCTTAAGTGCCCAGTCATATCCCCAGCCCCTCAGCTACCTTTATTTATATAGCCCAGGCCCACCTGCCCCTGCCTGGCACCACTCACAGTGGGCTGAGCCCTCTTAAATCAAGTAGCAATTAAGGAAAAGCCCCGTAAACACGACCTCATGCCAATCTGACCTGGGCAATTCTTAAGCGGAAGCTCCCTTTCTAGATGACTGTAGAATTATGCTGAGTTGTAGCTAAAGCTATGATATAGGGACAATTCCTACCATAGCTCTGGTTGCTTAAGGAAAGGGGTAGGAGGCACCAGAGGTGGGCAAGCTTTATACCTCAACATATTCACATAGGTGAGTAATGTTTCATTGCTTCTTTCCTGCAGGGATATTTGGGGTTGGGAGTACAGGAAACCCAAGGCAAGCATTTCATAAAGATTGGGATGGGGGTGGCCCTGGATAGAACTTAGGACATGAACCGTCCTTTGAAACAATGCATCCCAGGTCCTATACATTCCAATGGCATAGAACACAGAAGACGCCATTAGCAGAGGGTCCTGTAGCATCTGCTGGAGCGCAGCTGTGCAGAGCGCAGCATAGCACATGGCTCGGTGATGGAAACACACAGCCTGCTCCAGGCAGAGGTGACACCTATTGGTAACACTCTAGCAGAGAGGAAAAGTGGGTGAGTAGCAGGGGCTCATGTGAGAAGAAATTAGGAAAGATAACTAGATCGGGAGAAATAAAGGGGGGATGTAGGGAAGTGGCAGAGTGTGGGGGTTTGGGAGTATGATGAAGATGTCACTCCTTCCGGATCATAGTTCTGTCACTTTCTGGATATGTGACACTGGGCGGTATTTCCAAGATCTTTATTAGTGCCTTTATATGTAGTATGAGGATGCGCCCTTATGGGATCCCTAAAAGGACTAAATGATACAGCACAAGTAAAACGCTTAGTAGTGTACCCGACTTGTCATGCTAAATCTAAGTCTTGGGCATTAAAACATTAACCCCAACAATTTGGAAAGACAGAGGACCAGGCCTCGGGAGGTAAAAAAGGAATTTCGCGCTAAAGGCGTTACCCTTAGTGGCTCATTTTAAGCCACCAAAGTTAAGAATGAGCATCAGATCCTTCTTATGAATGAGTGTGAAGAAGCTCTGATGCTAGTGACTTGCTTAGTGCCCTGTGTCTAGCAAGTAGGGAGCCAGGACCAAACCAGTCCTGCCTGGTGCTTAGCCCAGGCTGCTTCTGGCATATTTTGCTAATTGTTAAAGTTAGATTGAAATATTTCAACCGATTATAAAGATATCACTACTTTAAGAATAAAAGCCAGAGGGCTGGGGATGGAATCCAGTGACAGGGCACTTGCCTAGCATGTGTGAGCCCCAGGCTTGATTCACCCCAACACGGCAGTACACACATGTTAAAACTTTAAAATAAAAACATCTAAAGGTCATAAATATAAGACACACAAAGAGCTATTTTTTTTTTTTTACAAATAACTGTATCAATGTTGGAAATGTTTTCCAAACAATTTGTACAATGCTTCTGATAGGGGCCCAGAGGCGTATCTCATGTCCAAAGGTGGAACAGTATTAGATAATGTCTTTTGGCTGTCTGTCTTGACCACCCTAACTTCAATAAAGGCCTTCCTTGGGATGGCCAGAAAATTGTGTCGTTCCCAAGAGGTGCTAAATGAATTCATTGACATAGGAAATAGGTATTAACAGTATTCGTGGTGTCCAGCTGTGTCAGCCACTTATGTACGTGTGAGCAATCTTTAGGTTCTCACATGATCATGCATATTTTAACAGTGAAAAAGCTGATTCCGGAAAGTTAAGTTATCTCCCAAAGGGCATGAAGTTGTCGAATTTGGGACCCACCTGTCTCTGATCCTTAAACTCTTGCACTGTGAGGGGCTGTTGGAGAAGGGCAAGTAGTGACCGCCGTGCAGTGCTGGGGGACACTTACTGTGACCAGGGAGGCACCTTTCTGCTACGCCTCCCTTCCTCCTGAATATCCTTTAAGGAGGGGTTGATGAGAGTCTCTCAACCTCTCTTGCAAAAATTCACCTTAAGTGCAGCTTGTATTGTATGAGGCCCACATTTAGAATGTTTATTTATATATTTGGTTGTTTATTTTTGCGATGCTGGAGTGAAACCCAGGATTTTGCACATTGGGCAAGGGCTCTGCATCTGAGATCCATCCTCAGCCCTTGGTTTGGTTTTCTCCTTTTTATTTATTAGCATATATTGACTAGTGATAGATGATAGTGGGCTTCATCATGACTTTCATACCTTTGGTCATATTCACCCATTATTCCCTTCTTGTCCCTCTGTCACTCCCGTGGATCTCCTTCTTCTAAGACTCCTTTCTACTTTGTCTTTTTTCTTCTCCGTGACCCAATAGCCTTAATTAGGGTCTCTTTTGTGAGCATGGGCGAGAGATTATCTCAGGAGCTTAGGTGACTCAGCAGAGGCTACTCCACTGAGGAACAAGGCTCCCCTCTCCCTGCCCAACAACCATTAACTGCCACTAGCTCTTTGTGGGGAGGGAGAGCTCATGAGCCTCTCAGCCCTAGCAATTGTTACTGCTCATAAATCCTCATGGAGGGAAAAGAGAAGAGGAGATCACCTAAGATTTAGGGGCAGGAAAAGAGATGAAATAACACAAATCCAAAGAAAGTAAAAGGGAGTAGAGATGGTCCCTCATTTACAGTAGTTCAGCTGGCGTTAATTAGACTTTACGGTGGTGCAAAAATGACACACATTTAGTAAAACGTACACTCCAAATTTTGATCTTTTATGTGTTCCCGTGCTGGTGCTATGTGGTGGGATACTCTGGTGATTCTGGAACCAGGGAACCAGGTGTGAGTGTAGCTCCCATTGGCTCCATGATTGTAGAGGCAATGGCCTCACTGCAGTGTGCTGTGTGCCAAGCATGGTGTCTGAGAGGTTGGGTTTATCAAATGCCCTGAACTTGCAAGGTTTCCAGCATACAATTGGTACCTTGGAATGTAGTTGTTTTACCAAGGACCATCTGCATTAGAATGAAACGGATTAGCAAGTTCAGAAATCTATCGACACACACATAATGGCTGACTTATGATGATGGGGACATTAGAGAGAAGAAAGAGTTTTGAATAAATCGTGCTGGGTCTACTGGACAGCCATGTTGAAATACTGAATCTTGACCTGCATGCTACGAAAGCCACCCTAGATGGGTTGTAAGTATACCTGCATGAGGCAAAACACCAAAGCTTCTAAAAATTTAGGCTGTCACAGCCTCAAGGAAGGCAAACATTTTAAAAATTAGATTAAGTTCCACATATGAAGGAAAAGATGGATGAATTTGGCTATGTTAAAATGAAGACCATTTGTTCATTGAAATGTATGAAGGGAGAGAAAAGGCAAACCATAGATTAGAAGAGATCTGATAACTCACTTAGCCAGTTTGCAACCAAAATATATAAAGAACTATAAGTCAAAAAGAAAAACAAGGGACTAGAGAGATGGCTCAGAGGTTAAGAGTGCACACTCCTCTCTTTCAGAGGACCTGAGTTTGGCTCCCCAAGGACACTGAGTCACAACCACCTGTAACCCAGTTCTATGGGGTCTAATGCCCTCTGCTGGCCTCCTTGGGCGCTGCACTCTTGTGCATATGCTTGCTGTCAGTTACATAGAATAATTAAAATAAAACTAGAATATTACAAAAATACAAACAGAAAAACTCAATTTTAAAGCAAGTAGAATATGTTTTTGATGATAAGGAATGTGGTTAAGCAAATACACATACAGCAAGTTTTTTTGTTTTTTTTGTTTTTTTTTTTTTTTTTTTTTTAGTTCAGGCCTTATGGCTGCTCTTTAATAAGCAACCATACCCTGGAGGAGAGTACAGAGGAAAGAGCATACTGAAACTATAAAGACTAAAATCATGACGTGACAGCTTGGTCACAGACCAAGTTAAAATAAGTATTTTGGGCCTGGCGGTGGTGGCACACACCTTTAATCCCAGCACTAGGGAGGCAGAGGCAGGTGGATCTCTGTGAGTTCGAGGACAGCCTGGTCTACAAGAACGAGTTCCAGGATTCACCTCAAAGAAGACAGCTGCTGTCTTCTTCACTTGTCTTTCATCATAATTAACAGCATCCATAACAGACGTTCTAGAGAAGTGGCCTATGGGAAGAGGGACGAGGGGGCTTCCTGTGACTGACACACGCTGACTGCCTTTCAAGAGTGGTTCTTCTGTCATCTGTTTCCTACCTGGTACAGTAGTCATGGCCGGTCATCCTTCTATAAGGCCCCTGTTTAGAAATGGCTAAGGCCTAAGAAGACAAATGTCTCAGGCGAAGAGGACACAGTGCATAGAGAAAGTCTCTACTTTGAAGTTTTCTGGGGAACAGTCCTGCTCTTCCCACACGTCGCAGTGAGTGAGAAGAGGTTTAATGGAGATGGGCACAGCACAGGCTGGGATTGGATAGCACATACCTGAAATGCCAAAGCCAATGATGAGTGCGATTGCTCCAGCCAGGATAATGATGATGTTAATAACACTACGGACAGAGGGGGAGAAACAGGAAGTTACTTCTTCATTCCACCCGACACGCTGCCTCACAAGCATCCCGTGTAAAGTGTGCTAAGTCAGGCATCACAAGCTTTTCGCCCACGTGAGCCTTTCTTAGAAATGAGAACCTTAGGAGTCTCAGAGATCCCATCCCCATCCCACTGGCGTCTGGAGACAAGTGAAGAAATGTCCCTTTTATCTGATAGTGTCATCTCAGTTTCCTGTTTGTGAAGCACAATTAATAAAAGCTCAGAGAAACTGGGGTTCAACCTGAAGATCTATAAAAGCAAAACAGCCAGAGACTGGTTCTTACCTCGCTCTCCGTCTGAAATGGTGATCCTGCCTCTAGGAATCTCAGAATGAGACTGTGTTTGAAAGCTGTTTCCTCCCGTTTTATAATCCTCTATAGGGTTGGGATTAAAGGCATGCACCATTGGGATTAAAGGCATGCACTACCTGGTTTCTATGGCAAACTAGTGTGGCTACTCGGATTAAAGGAGTGTGTTACCACTCACTACCTGGTCTGTCAGACTGACCAGCCGGGCTGTTTTACTCTCAGATCTTCAGGCAAGCTTTATTTATTAAAATACCATTAAAATGCCACAACATGTTTCCAGACCAGAGAAGACTGTTAACACGGTCTCTGCATTGTCCAATGGCACTTGAGGAGACCTTGTGTCCTACTCAGCCTTACCCTTAACAACACTGCCCACCTCTTTGTATCATTTGTTTTCCCTTCTTGATTCTTTCTGTTGACTGTCACCTCCACCTGGCCATGCCTTCTCTACTTTGTCTGTACTCATCCCTGGTCTACCGTGCCCTGCAGGTTCTCAGTGACTGTCTTCTGTCCCTGTTTTAAACAAGTGTGGTAGGATTATAGCAATAAAGCACATATGTAGAATTGTACATCTAGGTGCAAAACCAAGGTCCCCCTAGCCTTTAATTCCTATTTCTCCAGATTTACTCTTTATCTTATCACAGCCTGGCTGCAGGAGCACCACCTTCCACCCACCGCTTGGTGCAGACCCAGGGTGCTCTTAGCTCTTTCCTATTAACCCACTTATCCTTCCATTCCATCCCACCTCCATTCTTTTATGCCAGATGCTGATCTGCAGAGACACTTTCTACTAGAGAAAACACAATGCTGGGGATTCATCATCCTTCCTGCTCCCCTCTCTAGACTCACTCTGAGCTTTCCTGAAGGAGCCCCTTCTCTCACCCCACCTCCACTCCTTGGGGGCTCTGCCTCTTGGTGTGCACCCTCTTCTGACCCTCTTTGCCTTTCCTCTTAGACCACCTCCATTTCTTTGTGTTATCTTTCAACTGACAGAAGCAAACTCTACCTGAGAGCCCTCAGCCACCATACTTTCCTAGAATCTAGAGTGGGAATGAGCAACCAAAGAACAGAACTTCCCACTCAAAAAAAGATCAGACATCTATGCCAAGAAATATCCCAAATATTATAACTACAGATACCTATATCCTAGTACAAAAACACAAATATGAACAGTTAAGACACTATGCCTCCTCTGTAAGCTGGTATTTCAATAAAAGCCCTGAGAAATGCAGTTTAGCTGAAGTATAAGACAAAGACTACAAAATAGCAATTATGAATGTGATCAAAGACCTTAAAGAGGATATGAGCCAATGCCCTAATGAAGGCTGTGAAAGCACAAACAGTTAAAAGAAATAATGAAAACATTTTAAGACTTCAAGACACAAAAGTAGAAAGAGAATCATAAAAAACCCCAAGCTAAAATAAAACTAGAAATGAAAAGGAAAAACTTAAGAAATCAGACAAAAACCACAGAGGTAAGATTTCTTAGCTTATTATAAGATGAGGGGGAAAGAGAGATTTCCAGATCTTGAGGACAAGGTAGAAGAAATGGATGGTTCAGTCAAAGAAAATGTTAAATCTAAAAATGTCTAGGCACAGAACATCCAGGAAACACAAATAGTGCTCATATATTTGAATACCCAGTCATTAGGGATTGGCACTACTTGAAAAGGAATAAGAAGAATGGCCTTGTTGGAGGAAGTATGTCGCTGGGAGTGGGCTTAGATATTTCAAAAACCTAAGCCAGGCTCAGCTGCTCTCTCTCTCTCTCTCTCTCTCTCTCTCTCTCTCTCTCTCTCTCTTCCTGCTGTCTGTGTGTGTGGATCTAGAACTCTCAGCTACTTCTCTAGCACCATGTCTGCCTGCGTGCCAACATGCTCCCCACCATGATGATAATGGACTAAACCTCTGAAACTGTAAGCCGGCCCCTCAATTAAATATTTTCTCTTGTTATAGTTGCCTTGGTCATGGTGTCTCTTTACAGTATCAGAACAGTGACTAAGACAGAAGTTACTACCAGGAGTGGGTATTGCTGTGAGGCCTGACTGTGCTGTTTGTTGGAGGAGTGTAGACTTTGGATTAGAAAAGAAGTTGAATGCTGTAAGTGGGGCTTAATGGGGGCATCCTAGTAGGAGCATGAAAGACAGTGATGCTGAGGGGGACTTGAACTGTGGGAGCCTGGCTCAGGAGGTTTCAGAGGGAAAGAATATTAGTGACTGTTCTTGTGATATTTTGGAGAAGAATGTGGCAGCTTTCTGCCTTTGTCCAAAAAAAATCTGCCCAAGGCTAAATTGGAGAGTTTTGGATTAATGACATTGGCAGAAGAAATTTCAAGACAGCCGAGTATTAACTATGTCATGTGGCCATAAGTGACATCCAGATTATTTAATCATAGATCATCCAGATCTATAATTAAAAAGATCAAGCTGAGCAAGTAAAAAAAAAATACAAAATGTTTGGGGAGAAAAGGAGCACCAGGAAGTGGAATGGAGCTGAATCCAGTGCTCAAGGAGATGAAATGCTTGATACTAAGTGGAATAAAGGGATGGAGACCTCAAGACAAGACCCCACCCAGGTAAGCTTCTGATTTGTGTAAAGGAATTACAGAAAAGTGTAAGCAGTGAAATTCATAAAGAAACACTATGATAGCTAAAATCACATATTGACCCTACCCAGTGATAGTGTGGACTTCAGTACCCCCACTCTTGCCAGTAGGGAGATCGTCTACACAAAAACTTGACAGAGAAATGTCAGCATTAACTAATGTCAGGAATCCAATGGACCTAGCAGACAGCAAATTCCATACAAACACTAATGAATTTATTTTCTTCTCAGCAGCTCATGGAACGTTCTCCAAAACCGACCACATACTAGGACACAAAGGGAATCTCAGCAGAAATAAGAAAATCGGAATAACACGCTGCATCCTGTCTGACCACCATGAGTTAGAGCTGGATATCCGCAGCAGAGACAGCAGAAAAAACCGAACAACTCACTAGTGAATTAAAAATGACTCAATGCAGAAATGAAGGTAATTAAAACCCTTTTAGGACTGGATGAAAATGGAAACACAATATACCCAAACTGATGGGACACAATACAAGTGTCCCTAAAAGGCAAATTCATATCACTAAGTGTCTACATCAGAAAACTGGAAGCAATCTCATGCCAACAGCACAGTGTCATACTTTAAAATTCTCAAACAACAGGAAAAAATAATGCCCGAAAAGAGTAGAGGACAAGAACCAAACTCAGGGCTAAAATCAATGAAATAGAAACATACAGTTGTGTGGTGGTGTTACATGGCTTTAATCCCAGCATTCGAGGTTAAATTTAATCCCAGCACTCAGAAGGCAGAAGCAGGCAGATCTCTGGGAGTTCAAGGCCAATCTGATCTACAGAACTAGTTTCAAGACAGCCAGCGCTATATAACGAAAGAAACCTGTCTCAAAAAACCAAAAGAGGAGAGAAGAGAAACAAACAAAAGCAATACAAAGAATCAATGACACCAAGAGTTAATTCTTTGCAAAAATCAGCAAGGCTGAGAAACCCTTATCCAAATTAAACAAAAGACACCGAGAGAAGATCCAAATTAATAAAAATTAGAGATGGAAAGGGGACGTTACAGAGACTGTTACATCATACACAAGATGGGCACGGGCCCGAGGCAGATGGAGTCCCAGCACTGAGATGGGGAAATATGGGGCCCCACTCTGACTGAAATGCTATCTGTGATTGATATCTGATGGCAAAGGGGAAATCGATTTTCTCGGTAGAGTCTCCCTGGGTACAGAAATCACACTTCAGGGCTGGCCCCATGCCCAGCAGTAGAGAGCCACGAGGAAACTAACTGGTATTCTCGGTGGACCTTTTGCTTCATTTTTCTGTGTTTTGGCTGTTTTTGTTAGTAGTCCTTTGCTTGTTCTGATTTTTGTTTTTTGTTTTTGGTGGGGAGAGGTTGTAGGGTCATTTTTTGTGTGTTTCTTGTTTTTGTTTGTTAAAGAACATGAAGTTGGGTGGGTGGGGAGGACCTGGGAGGAATCAGGGAAGAAGGAACATGAGCAAAATATATTATGAAAAAAGTATTTTTCAATAAAAACACCACATGTTTATCATGCTCAAGGCCCTAGGTTCCACCTCCAACACTAAAAATTTTAAAAGTGATACGCATTTACTGAACAATTAAGTTTAGGAACTTAAATAATCGATCAAAAATAGGACAATAAAATCACCCACAATTCCATCATCCAGACCCAAACGCTGTGCTGTTCAATGTTGACATGTATACTGACAGCTGTTAGCTAACAGATTAACAAATAGCACTTGAGAAAGAAAACAGCTAAATGCGAGAGCATTGTGAACACTTACTGACTGCTTGAATTGTGTGACAGACATGTTGTCCCTCACACACTTACAGCTTACGTCACCTGCCCATTCAATAACTTTATGAGGCAATCAAGCACATTGCCTCCACTTTATGAGTGACATGGAGATTAAGCATCTTCCCTAAAGTCCCTAGCAAGTAGCAGAGCGAAGGTTAGACTGTCCCTCAGGTCTGCACTGGGTTACTTTGTGTAGCGCTCCTCAGAATGGAGGCTGGTGGACTGGTATGCACCTGTGCGCTGCAGGCTGGGGAGAGGAGCAACGGGG